ACTTAATCTTGATTGTTTCCCTCTGTTGATGTAATTTAGGATTGCATTGGCTTTTTTAGCTGCCGCAGCACACTGCTGACTCATATTTAACTGGTTGTTTACTAAGTCTCCAAGATCCTTCTCACAGTTACTGCTATTAAGCCTGGTGTCAGCGTTCCAAATATCATCCAGAATTAAATCAGAGTTCAAGGCAGAGCTTTCCTCAAAGTTCCAATTTATTAAGAGAGACATCTGTGAGAACCCGAATCTGAAAGCTTCCAGGGGTTCCCACCCAGTTGAAAGTTCATGATCTTGTCTCCACACCCACAAGCCCATCACGTGCTCCATTCTTCCTCTGTGACCCTGGCATTTCCACCCATCCACTTCCGGTCACGTGCAGAGGTGCAGAGACAAAGAATGACCTTGATTTCTAGAAAGAAATTTTTATTTTGAAAGCAAACACATTCTACTCCTTACTATTCCCTCTCCCAATTCCCCACTAATGAAACAGCATAATAAAGAAAGAGAGAGAGTGTGGCAGGCCAAAGATCCTAAAAAGAACCAGCTGCAGGCCTGACATCTGGTTTCACCCAGTCTATATGTGTACTTTTGGTTTCTCTTGCCTAAGTGTAAGACTTTACTTTTCTCTACACTGAATTTCATTTTGTTAAACAGGTCCCAGTGTTCACGTCTATCAAGATCTATCTGGATCTTGAGCCTATCTGCTAGGGTGTTGGCTATTCCTGCCAGCTTAGTATCATCTGCAAATTTGGTAAGTTCCCTTCTATTCCCTCATCTAAGTCGTTTATGAAGATATTGAAGAGTACTTCAACCTTGTGGTACCCCACTGCTTACTTCCCTCCATGTAGATGTAGACCCATTAAGGACTACTCTTTGAATATGGTTTGTCAGCCAGTTATGAATTAGCAGGTTTATTATAGATAGGAAAAATCAGCAAAAAAAAAAGCTGTGGGAAAATGCAGGTTTACGAAAGACATGCTTGTTGCCATAACCCCATATATGATATTTATTGAATAATTCCATTTTGAAAAGTGTAGCATGGAAGAACCAAAGTTTTTCTTCAAAAAACTTGATACTGTTCCTGATTTAGTTCGGCCCCTGAATGAGCAGAATGGGATGGGGAAATGATTGATAACAGGACTTCCTTTCTCCCATATCTAGAGGGCAATGTTGATCTTTTAGGAGATAAACTATTAATAATTCCTCCGATGTCTTTTATTGTTCCAAACAAATGTTAAAACCATCAGAGATTAAAAAAAAGACATTCCAACATTAATCTTTCCAACTTGTTTCTATATTAACGTGTGATTTTTTTTAAAGAGACATTTATGACACATTTTTCAGTATATCTTTTAATAATATACTCTGACGTACAATTGTTTCTTAAATATGAATTTTTGCAAGCAATTGTCCCAATATAATGAGAGTTTTTTTTCTAAGTGGTTCATCCAATACAGTAAAACTTTATTTAATGAACTACTAGTTAAGGATCCATTACATCTGAAGTTGCATCGTTTTGTTAATTATATAATGGACATAAATAGCATCATTTTCAATAAAGCCTTGATGTGAGACAGTTCTTAAAGCCATGTATCAAATTTGTCCGTTTGTCTATTAAATTGAAGTTTTACTATAGGTACCAATTTTTTGTTTATTTATTATCCAGTAGACCACTGAAATTAACTGACTCTTAGATGTCTATGATCCATGATGATGAACCTATGCCACGTGTGCGCAAAGTGGCACACGAAGCCATGTCGCTCGGCACGTGCAGCATTGCAAGTTTGTCTTCCAGGTTTCTGGCATGCATGCATGC